ACAAGCAAACTATTTTAATACAGCTTAAATGTATGCATCTGTTAACAAAGAATGAAGACCATACTTGCAGGATGGGGAAATCTATCCTAGGAATCAGTGATTCTGAAAAAGATTTGGAGGTTGTAGTGGATAATCAGGTGAACATGAACTCCCAGTGTGATGCTGTGGCCAAAAGAACTAATGTGATCTTGGGATGCATAAACAGGATAATCTTGAATAGGAATAGAGAGGTTATTTTACCTCTGAATTTGGCACTGGTATGACCTTGCTGGAATACCGTGTCCAGTTCTCCTGCCCACAATTCAAGAAATATGTTGATAAATTGGAGTAGGTTCAGAGAAGAGCCACAAGAACGATAAAGGATTAGAAAACCTGCCTTATGGTGATAGTGTGAAGGAGCTCCATCTGTTTAGCTTGACAAAGAGAAGGTTAAGGGGTAACTTATTTACACTCTACAAATACAAACGTGGAGAACAAATATTTAATCATGGGTTCTTCAATCAAGCAGAGAAAGATATAATCTAGTGGCTGGAAGTTGCACCTGGACAGATTCAGACAGGAAATAAGGCTTATATTTTTAATGGTAAGAGTAATTAACTATTGGAAGAATTTACCAAGGGTCGTGTGGCATATGCTGGCCATTTTAAAATCAAGATTGGATGTTTTTCTAAAAGATATGCTCTAAGAATTATTTTGGGGAAGTTCTATGGCCTGTGTTTAGACAGGAAGTCTGACTAGATGATCATTATGGTCCCTTCTGGCTTTATAGATGCATAGATTCTAAGTGTTTAGTCCTTTATGTTGCTATAAGGATTTTTCTTTGGGCTTTTTCCCTTTAAAAAGAATAAATTGGAAATTAAATGCAAAACTTGTATTAAGATAACACAATCCTAACATGCAAAATCAGTGTAATCTTAACTATTTTGCACATTTTCTGTTTTATTCTGGTTAAACGTATTTGTTCAATGATATTGTCATAAAATTCATATTGTAGAACATGAGGATGTCCAGTGCAGCTAAGTTAATGATTCAGACATTATTATTGTAGGTGGGCATTTACCATAGGGTTAATTGGATTGTAATGTGTGGCTCACAGGGAGGTGTTCAGAAAAGGTGGTGGGGAAATAACTCTGCAAAGGCAGCACAATTCTTCTCATTCTGTAGTCCCCAGCAGGGATCAATGGGGTTGTCCTTATTTCCCCACAGAGATGGAAGGGACAACCTGGCCTTTGGTTTCCTTCAGCTAGGATTGGGTGAGGTATTCCTGTCAAGAATCTGTTGTGGTCAAAACACTGAGACAGTGCAGTGAGTTGTTTGCTTTGTTGATCTACAGATATCTTTAGACATTTTGTTCATGTTTAGAGATATGGGTGTTTTTAGTTACAACCAAAGCAGTGTCCAGCTTCTTGTAAAACAGCCCAGTAGCTACTATTAGATCAAGTTACCAAAATATTGTATGAAAAATAGTGCAATGGCATTAGATTGTGAGATCCCTAAGTATGAAGAAAAACTACTAAATCCTGGAGTATGTTTCCTTTTTAGTTTTCTGTACAGCATAGAGAGGAACTTGAAAGTGAAGAGGGGAAAGAGAACATATGTTTACTTTTATTTGCAATGTAAATATTAAACTTATTTTATACAGAGTAACACTTATTGATTTGATTCCCCTGTGTGAGAGTGTCAGATATATCAGTAGCAGAAGAGAAAATTTAAGTAATATAAGAAAGGAAGAAAAGTTCAGCTAAGATTGTAAATATAATGGAGAGTCCACTTGTCAGATGTGCAGAATGGCTGGCTGTTCCAAATGATGGGCATTGTGGTGGAGAAGGTTCTTACATTAATGCTGGCAAGATGGTATTAAAGGACGAGAGGAGGCCAGTGCAAGACTAGCAGAGAGGGGGAGTGAAAGGAGGAATAGAGACACAAGGAGTGAAATCCTGGCTCCATTGAAGTCAGTTGGAGTTTTGCCATTGACTTCCGTGCAGTCAGCATTTCATCCAAGGTCTATGAGGTAAGGCTGTGGAACGTTTAAAAAAAGAGACCATGGAAAATTTAAAAAATAAGGTTGATTTTGAACTAGATTGTCAAATGAAGACCCAGTGGAATGCCTAAAAAATGTGGATGATGCAGTCATCCTTCTTTGGGTATATGTGAAGGTAAATAGTATCTTCATATGCTGGAGTCTGGAGACCTAGGTCTTGGGAAGGTGTAGAAAAGGAAATTCCAGAAGTGAGGCATAAAGAAATGAGGCATGGATGATGGTTTCAACAGAGGAGCAGTCAAAGTAATAGCATAGTAAGTATTGCCCCTGTTTCAGACTAGTTCCCTTTTCCTTCTCTTCATTAAGCACTTACGTTTTGTTCCATGTCTGCTGAGAACAGCATCTTGGTTTATGATTACATCTGCAACTTGCTAGGCATGTTCTGGGGACTAAAGAAGGAATGGTCACTATCTTGAGGAACTCATAGTCTAAGGACACTGACGGGGGTTGAGGGAAGGCAAGCAACAAAGGTAAATTTTTTTTTAAGGTCACCTTTTACATTTTGTTACTATCAGACTTGCTTTTAAAAATAGCTTTGTGGGTTAACCTCTTAGGCTAATAGTTAATAGCCTGTATTGCAATGTGGGTGATCTAATTCGGAGTCTGTCTCTTGCTACCTACACTAGGAGGTACTATACAGGCAGCACACTAAAGCCATGTCTACACTACAGCGACTATAGTGGGACAGCTGTGGCACTGCAGCTGTAGTGTAGATGCTTCCTACGTTGATGGAAGTGTTTTTTTCTTTTGATGTAGATGATCCACCCCTTGGAGAGGCGATAGCTAGGTCAATGGAAGAATTCTTCCGCTCGCCTACTTGCATGTGCAAGTTAGGCGAACCTAACTATGTCACATAGGGAACAACATTTTTCATAGCCCTGAGCAATGTAGCTAGGCCAATCTAATTTGTAGGTGTAGAACAGTGGAAAAGGAGTGCTCTTTATCACCCAACAATGGCATTTTTGGCCCTGTTGATGAGCTTTAAAAAGTCCTGTTCAGCACTTCTTAGCCATAAGGCTGCTGCCTGTACTGAAGGGCCTCAAGTGTTGTGAGATATACAGCAGGACTAAAAAGGAGCTTGGAGCTTCCATAGAGAAAGAGAGGGGGTGGGATGGGGAGAATTGTTTCATTCCTAATTAAAATGTTTTTGAATTCCATGGACAAAACTGCTTTGCCCTTCTGAAATCCCATTTCATTCCTGAGTTATAGTCTTAAGTCAAAAAGGAGCCTGGTTTTGGAGTGATCTGTCACAGCACAAAGGAATTTCACATCACTTTAGTTACTTGGTAACATTTTTGCTTAGGAAAGGCTAACACATTAATAATATGAATATGAACATGTTGCTGGGGAATATAGCACCTGGTCCTGCAAGACTTATTTGCTAAGTAGTCCAATTAAGGTCAATAGGGCTAGACTATTTGCAAAAGTAAGGCTTGCAGATACTTGCATTTAAGATGCTTGATGTAACATCTAGGTAGACAAGTGGTGGTGTATATTATCAGGCTGGTTACTTTCATGAGCATAAATCCAGTATGTATTTAAAGTAATTCAAACTCCGATCACCTGAAACATGTCACATTTGTCTAAACTTGGCATATCATATAGTAATCAAATCTTACTGCACAGTTGATCCTCCAGTAGATATGCAGTCCCTAATTCTGGGAACAGAAATATAAATCAAACTGGCCTACATTTAAAAAAAAAAATCAGTTTGAGACACTTCAGAATGCCATTTTTTACAAATGAAAAATTATTGGTGAAATCTGACTATATGTAAAATACATATTTTCCTATCAAAGTTAAGTGAATTATATGACAAATTAGATTTTACTCCAAAAAGCAAATGGACAGAAAAGATACTGCAGCACATAGAACATCTTCTCAAGTACCAAACATTTAAATTATTTGAACAGCTTGACTTCTGGGTACCACTAAATAAGACATTTCTGCACACGGAAAACTGGATAGGCATGCAAAACACGCTGTCTCCAATAGAAATGACATTCAAACAGATCTTAAAACCCTCCTGTAGCACTATTTGACACTATAGTGACAGTTCTCTAGGACGAAACAGGTGAACTAAAGAGCAAATAGATGACTGGGAAATTGTCTTGAGCAGTAATGGCAGCCCTAATAGGCAAAGCCAATTGTAAGAATTGTTCTGCTCCTAAAATGGGGGGACAGGAAAAAATCGCTATACATTGGAAAACTGTTCTAACAGGAAGTCACCTCTCCATATTCTTGAGACTGTGGTACAAATAGGCTTCTGGTTGTAGAATGATGTGAGAGAGAGTGAATATTGCTCCCTAGCCCTTTCCTACATTCTGACACATCTTGGTTGAATGTAACAATAAATCTCCAAAATAGCTGCCCCAAATTATTAAATCATTGGCTCAAATCATTTCACTCTGTCCAGGTTTGGACACAAAAACTAAATGTAATGTAAGACATAAAGCTGATCACATCAAGAATTAGACAATCATACCGTTCAGTAGATGGTGCAATTCTTTATAAGGTCATCAGCTGTTTATAAATGTATTTCTTTTCTGACCAAATCTATAAAGGAACGGGAATAGAAACTCATACACTATATTAAACAATATGAACTTCTTCTGAAACTTTCCAGTGTAATACTTCTGAATTTCATTTTCTAGAGGTAATAACTCTCTCAAACTACTTAAGTACCAAATATCTACTTACCTGTGATTATTTAAAGTACAATGGCAATACTTCATATTTACACCAATGTGAGATCAGAATCAGACCCTTAGATTTTTAAGTCAGTAGACATAGACTAATGCGAGATCAGAATTGGAATGTATATTTCTGGTGCACATGCTGTTAAAGATAGAATTGAAAATTTATTCTTGGACAGCTGTAGCATTATTGCATAGATGTTTCTTCATATCAAAATGCAGTGACTAAAGTGTTTTAATAAATTCACTTCTATATCTTATAGCCCTTTCCAAGGCAACAAATGAAGTGACTGCAATTAAAAAGCAATCTGAAGGCCTTAAAAGAGAATATGATCGCCTTATGAAAGAACATGAACGGCTGCAGGTAGGTGGTTGTGGTTCACTGCATGAGCAGAATGTTCTGTAATTGTACTAACAAAATTACACATGTTGGATGTTTCTTTTCCAAGAGCAAGAGAAATTATCAAACCCTTCAGTATATGTTACAATGGAAATTACTCCCTGAAGGACTTTTCAGCTTGGAAAAGAGGAGACTAAGGGGGGATATGATATATATAAAATCATGAGTGGAGAAAGTGAATAAGGAAAAGTTATTTACTTGTTCCCATAATATAAGGACTAGGGGTCGCCAAATGAAATTAATGGGCAGCAGGTTTAAAACAAATAAAAGGAAGTTCTTCTTCACACAGCGCACGGTCAACCTGTGAAATTCCTTGCCAGAGGAGGTTGTTAAGGCTAGGACTATAACAGGTTAAGGGTAAGGAATGGTGACCCTAGCCTCTGTTTGTCAGAGAGTGGAGATGGATGGGAGGAGAGAGAACAGTTGATCATTACCTGTTAGGTTCACTCCCTCTGGGGCATCTGGCATTGGCCACTGTCGGCAGATGAGATACTGGGCTGAATGGACCTTTGGTCTGACCCAGAATGGCCTTTCTTATGTTCTTAAGGTTATAAAAATACCTAGTAGAATTCTGCCTTCTTGCAGGAATCTTATGGCAAAGCTGGGTAGTATTTTTCTGAGGTAAGGAAAGGAAAGGTGGCATCATCAGATTTCTAGGTTGATGTGCTATAGCTTTGAGGTTGAGTTCAGGATTCATGTGAAGTCCTTCACTCAAGGACTGAGCCTGAGAGCTTCAAGAAGGTAATGGAAATTACAATGAAAGGGAGGGTTTGGGGTTGGTTTTTGTTTTATGGTTTTAAACATTCCTCTGATGTTTGCAATCCAAATGCTGCAGCATTGTTAATGCTCGAGAACCAGGAAGCAAGAGACTACAAACAGGTCAGTCTAAACACACTGTTCAAACTGAGTGACGTGCAAGATGTTAACAGGAAGCCTAACTGGCAAAAGCTGAATAACGCTTTTAAAAATCATTTCATGGATTTTTATTGGGCTTAGGGGTTCAGAGGCATTGAAATGCTATAAAAACATAGTTGGTGCTGGTAGCACTGCCTGTTAAGATTGCCAGACCCTTCCCATGTAAGACCCTGTTTTCAGTTGATTAAAAGTTGTCAAACTTTAATGTATGGGATGAAATTTTCCATTCCAGGTGTCTGCCTCGGGATAATTTTTTTTTTTTGAAAGTTTTTCAGCCAAAATGGTTCAGCTGTTTCCAAGAACAAAGTTGTGGAAAATATATTGTTTTACAGTATTAACAAAATTCTGGTGAGCTTTTTTTGAGAGGCTCTAGTGCCCCTGTGCTTTGGAGCAGTAACTGGAAATTTGGCATCCGATGGCTTTTGTGTCAGGAATGTACCTGTGCTGTTGAGAAAAATTGTAATTTAGTCAAATTTGCACCAAACATTTAAAAAACATTCACGTGTGACAGCTAAAACATCTGAAGATTCCATCTTCCCTGAGCATGCTGCAGCCCCTCAGAGCACCTGTACTGACTAGACCAGGGGTCGGCAACCTTTCAGAAGTGGTGTGCCGAGTCTTCATTTAATCACTCTAATTTAAGGTTTCGCGTGCCAGTAATACATTTTAACATTTTTAGAAGGTCTCTTTCTATAAGTCTATAATATAACTAAACTATTGTTGTATGTAAAGTAAATAAGGTTTTTAAAATGTTTAAGAAGCTTCATTTAAAATTAAATTAAAATGCAGAGCCCCTGGACCGGTGGCCAGGACCCAGGCAATGTGAGTGCCACTGAAAATCAGCTCGCGTGCCGCCTTTGGCACGCGTGCCATAGATTGCCTACCCCTGGACAAGACTATGCATATGCAACCCCCACAGAGTGACTGAACATATTCCAGCCCAGAGCTTTAGGGCAGAAGCTGGATTTTCTCTGTAATTGCAGCTCCCTGCTGCCTCAGGCTGGGCACTAGAACAGAATACAGGGAGCTAGCTTCTCCTGTGCTGTCAATGGCATGCAGACCCAGAAACACAGTTTTGCTGCTGCACAGGGAGCACGAAGAGGAAGCCACCTGACTTAAATACAGAGAGGACAAGAGCAGGAAAAAGGAATGGGGGAGGGAGGGAAGGGGGTAGATAATTCTATTGACTCCTACATCAGCAAAATTGCCTGCTGAGTTCTAAGTCTACATCTACACTACAGGGGGGGAGTCGATTTAAGATACGCAAATTCAGCTACGTGAATAGCGTAGCTGAATTCGACGTATCGCAGCCGACTTACCCCGCTGTGAGGACCGCGGCAAAATCGACCTCCGCGGCTCCCCGTCGACGGCGCTTACTCCCACCTCCGCTGGTGGAGTAAGAGCATCGATTAGGGGATCGATTGTCGCGTCCCGACGGGACGCGATAAATCGATCCCCGAGAGGTCGATTTCTACCCGCCGATTCAGGCGGGTAGTGTAGACCTAGCCTATGTGTAGAATCTTCATTTTGGGTGGTGATGTAGCCTCCAGAAAGAATACAGATGGCTTTCAGGAGGAGATTGCAGTCTGTTGTGGGGTTTTGTTTTGCCTTTGTTAAATGTTGTTATAAACCTTTGATTTGCAAAATGAACAAACTTTATTTCTCAAAATGAAGAGAATATGGAACTCCATGTCTTTTGTCACTTTTGACAATTGGTGGACTTAAGCTAAAATCCCTATGGGCTTGTCTTCACTATCCGGGTAAGTCGACCTAAGTTATGCTACTCCACATAAGCAAATAATGTAGCTGGAGTTGACTTGACTTAGGTTGACTTACCCTGGTGTCTTCACTGCGGTGCATTGACGGGAGATGCTCTCCAGTCGACTTACCTTACTCTTCTCGAAGGGGTTGACTGGAGAGCGCTCAGCCATCGCTTTAGCAGGGCTTCACTAGACCCGCTAAATTGATACCCGCTACATCGATTGCAGCAGCATCAATATCCCGGGTAGTGAAGACAAGCCCTTTCTTATATATAGGAAATCAACATGAGTGTTGAGGAAGACAGACTTTTTCCCTCAACCCAGAAACCAGACCCCAACCGCCTACATAGCTGCATCCATACTGCAGCTTATAAGCTATAGCAGGGGTGGCCAAACTGCAGCTCGTGAGCCGCATGCGGTTCTTTTACAGTTAAAGTGCAGCTCGCAGAGCCCCCCATCCTCCATCTACCAGACTGGGGGTAGGGGGAGCTCAGGACTTCTGCCCTGCAGCAGGGTGGTGGGGCTTGGGGCTGCTTCTGCACAGCAGAGACGGGTTCTCGGGGTTTCAGCCTCACGGGGTGCGCTTACCAGGGCTCAGGGCTTCGGCAGGAGCAGGGTTGAATCGCTAAGCCCCAGCAGGCACACCCCAGCTCTCAACCTTCTGAAGATTTGTCATATCTGGCTCGAAGGGTCAGTAAGTTTGGCCACCCCGAGCTATAATAATAGCTGCAGCCTACTGGCCCTTTGGGGGCATATGGTTGTAGCTAGTAAGTCTGCACAGTGTACTGGCTATATCTCCCAGCCAGCTCGCCCACCCACAACCCCTCCCAAAGTCCCTACGGAGAGAACTCCATGGATCTTAACTCTGGGATGTGAAGTCCAACTGTGCCATTTTTCATCTTCTTGGTTCTCCTCATGCAGTGGAACTATAGTGTTTCTGATGCATTCTGAACTTGTGTGGCCACAGAGAGAGCCCAGTATCTCTTGCCCTTTCAGGATTTAACATTAGGTTATTCATCCTGAGACATCCGTTTCTAATCTTGCCAAATGCAAAGATTGTTCATTTGCTTCTTTCTGACTTGTCTGTCTCTTTGTTTGCAGGACTTCCTAGATGAAGAGGAGGACAAGAAAGACCAGTAGAAGCAATTCAGGAAAGACTACTTTGATATAACTGCACCAGTGTGAAGTCTCTTGTTCTTTTCTTTAGCCTCCTGAAGTAGATGGCACAAGGTTTGATTTTCTTAAGAAAATCAAATGCACTGTAGTTCACTACTCAGATTCTACTTATAGCTCTTGGTTGCCAAATATATTCTGTGTTGCAATGAGAATACAAAGTGATATATGGGATATGCCTTGAAGTTTATATTTCAGTTCTTGTGAGGAAAAATGTAAGCATATAAATGGAAATTTTCCATCTGCACTAACAACTCAGATGATCTCTATCCGTTTGCTCTCAAAAATGGTAAAAGATCATGAACAATAACACCAATTGCTTGTTACATTTGACTGGTTTTGTAAATCACACCAAACCATGAAAACATGGTGACTTTAACCCCTTTTTGCCAGTGACTATCAGGAGTCCTATGAAATTTGATTACTTATGGGTTAAATAAGACTAAATATTTTTCCTTTTCCATTCTACTTGTGTAGAAGGATTTGATTGACAATCAGTTTAAAAAAAAAAAGTAATTTCTAAATCCACCTTACACTAATTTGTTTTTTCCCATTGTGCCACACAGATGGGTGTGTTTCACTATTATCCATTTTGCATGCCTTTGGGTTATTCTTTTGGAGTACTTCAGAATTTTTTGTCATAAAAAATAGCATTAGTGGGGTTTTTATTATTCCCTGATTCATTTGTACAAGGATTTAAATCTATTGTTTACTTTGTGTGTGTGCCACTGAGTTTTCTTGCTTTGGAAAGTGTAAAATTCTTTGAAGAATGTTCATGTATAATTTACTTATACTGATGAAAAGCAATTCACGGTTAAGGAGTAATTATACAATACCTCAAAATAAATATACATTTGTTTTTACATTATCTGTTTTTTGCATCTGACAGCTAAATTCTGAGTAATTTTGCATTAGTGATTCAAATTTTGTACTTAGAAGTTGGATATGATTGTTATATTAAAGGGATTGTTTAAGCTTATGAGTTTGTGTGTTTGTGGAAAATATCCATTTTATCTGATAAACTGTCTCCCTTAAAATCAGAGTTTATAATTACCCACATGAAGAACAAAACATTTTCATAACATTACTATTTCACTTGCCTTGTCCAATAAATATGTATGTTTTGATGCTGATAATGGTGTTTTTAAATTGATACAGACCAGAGGGTTCAAAAATGAATGTTAATGCAGAAGTTCAGAACAGACCATCTGAACACAACATACCATATAAGGAAGTATGTGCTCAGCAATGTTATTCAGCCTAGCAGGGAGGTTAGTGGCATATGCTTCGGGGGGAGGAATTTTTTTCTATATAGAAATTTAAAACACTTTTTGAAATTCAGGCAAAAAATGAAGAGCTGGTAATGCATCTTGGTTTTGGTATATCTTTGTTTGTGAGTGTTTTCTGATAACACTTTAGAAAGTAAGGCCCCAATCTTGCAAGATGATCTGGAGGGAATTGGGGCTCTGTGCAGCCACAAAGATCAATCCATGCCGCTCAACTTTTAAAATTGGAGCCTACCGCTTTTATGGGTCCAATTAAATGCTTTTATGTTATCAGTTTGTCTATACAGTAAATATGCCCTGGACACAATCTTAAGATTAACATACAAAAATCTACATTTCAAAGAACCTTAGAAGTATAAAATCAAGTACCCAACAGTTTGAAAATGCCAGAATTTATGGTTGCCCGTGTATAGTACCTATTTTTCCCTACTTTTATTTTCAGAAACAACTGAACAAAAACAGCTGAAATTAAAAAGCAGCCTAAGGCAGACACCCAGATTTAAAATCTTTAAAAATTTTGACAAAAACATAAGGAACTGAAAACAGGTGCTTTTGAAAGTGTTAGGGAACTTTAACTACTTATGTTTCTATCTGCTCCACCTGAAATAGTACCTAGCATTGTGAAGGATCGCAAAGTGTTACATGCGATAGAAAGGAATAAAGCACTCTTGCTGTGAAATGCAACTGTAGTTTTTAGATTAACAGTACAGAGCAACTCTGCACTACCATTTAGGTTAGAATTCTTAGAATATCACATGTTTAAGGTGAAGAGGAGAGTGGGATCATTGTATATCCTGTTTTATATACAGATGCATACTGGGTGTAAATCATTCTCTTTAAAAGTTTTATAATTACATAAACTTTCCCCTCAGCCTAACAATTAAACACTGGCTGAATTGGAGTAGTTGTAGAAGCCAGTCTTGAAAAGATCTGGAGGAGGACAGGACAGTAGCCATGCTTATCAGTATAGGGAACGTGTTTCAGTAAATGCAGATTTTAAGCAACCCCTAATTTTCAAAAAGCAACAGGGGGTCCTGTGGCACCTTTAAGACTAACAGAAGTATTGGAGCATAAGCTTTCGTGGGTGAATGCCCACTTCATCAGACGCAAGGCCACAGGACGCTCTGTTGCTTTTTACAGATTCAGACTAACATGGCTACCCCTCTGATCCCTAATTTTCAGACTCTCTAGTTTGCCTCCACCTCTTGTTTCTGTCTTAGAGATATTCCATTAATGGTACTTTATCAAAGTGCATGACAGTCAGATCTGTTAGATTCCAGCCTTCATGTTAAGTCATTCTGACAACTGGGTTCAAAAAGGAATTAGGTCAATTCATGGAGAATAGGGCCATCAATGGCTTTTGGCCAAGATGCTCAGGGGTGTACCCTATGATTCAGGTATCTCTGAACTTCCAATTGCCAGAGGCTGGGACAGGAGAGGGGATGGATCACTTGAAATTACCCAGTTCTGTTCATTCTGGTTGAAGTGTCTGGCATTGACTGCTGTTAGAAACCCCATCCATACTGGGTTAGCTGGACCATTGGTCTGACCCAGTCTAGCTGTTCTTTGTTCATTAAGCATTGCTCACAAATATTTGGTTTCATATTACATCTGATGCTTATTAACCTTTGAACTCAAGAGTTTCACACTTTCCATATTATTTGTCTACATAAAATTAAAACAATTTTCCATGTTTTCAAAATATAACCACACTTATTTGGAAAGAGGGTTATAAGCACATTACAAATATTACAGCAGGTTTAGTGAACACTGGCATTTCTAAATCTTATTTTTAAAAATATTTTACAATATAGTGCATGCAACTGCTTCACATTGGGTTTTTTTGCACTTTGGGAAAAAGTACTCTGTTGTCCGGTTATCTCACAATACCTATAGCGTGCAGGGCTGTGGCCATCAATAGAAATGGTGGTAGTGATATTATTCAAAAAAGTCCCAATTTAGCAATGTGGACAAAGAATGGAAGAACCCAAATTGACAAATATTTGGCTCTTGCAAGATCTTGATCATGTGAGAGAAGCTCAGATGCTCCTCACAGATTATCTCTGGTACTTTATAGTTAAACTAGTCCATGCCAATATGGATTGAGTCAAAATTGCTTCCAGATTTAGCAATCAGTTTAACCCTGTGCATGTTAACAGAAATCACTTTGGGAAAATTTGAGTCCAAAGTGGGCAAGATAGACTCTGCTCTAATAATACTTAGCCCTCTGTGTTACACTGTCAACGCGTTTTGAACATAGGACCAAACATTTACTGGTGGGTGATGGGTAAAGACAAAAGAAAAAAGCTTCCCCTGCTTTTGTGTCCCTCAGGCTGGAGCCCTGCACAATGGCAGGTGATAGGGACTTACTGCCCCCTCCTAGCACCCACAGGTGCCCATCACCCTGAAAGGGACAGAAAAGACGCAGGGTCATGTTGCTCCCTCCTGTGGGCACTCGTTAGTGGAACTGAATGAACACAAAGGGGGGAACACATTGCGCTCCCCCAAAGGCTGGTGTCCCTGCATGCCTGGAGTTCCAGGAGTATACACCCCCAAACCCACCGGCTTGCTCACCTCCACTCCCCTAATGGTCCTGGTGTGTTAGTAGCACCAAGTGCTTATACACTTACTAGATTCTCAAAGTCTTGAACGTTAGGCTTGGCGGGAACTCCACAGGTGAAGAAACCAGGTAATAAGTTGAGTGACAGGGAGAGCTAACTCCAGGAATTCCCTGGTATGCAGGAGTCCCAGCCTTTAGGGGAGCTCCATGAGTTCCCTCCCTTCGTCTCCTTTCAGCTCCACTAACCAGTGCAGCGGGGAAACATGACCCAGAGTCTTTCCCATCCCATTAGGGGTGACGTGCACCCATAGGTGCTAGGAGAGGCCGGTAAGTCCCTATCGCCTGCCATTGTGCACAGCTCCTGCATGGGGGTCGCTAAAATAGGGGAGGCTTTTGCTTTTCCTACCACGGACCCAAGCAGCAGCCAGGAAATGTGTGACCCTATGTTCAAAATAGGCGTATCACAAAGTGCAAAGAATTCTTAGAGCGGGGCTGGTGGTGGTGGGGGAATCTTGCTCTAATAGTCCCTTCCTAAACTTCCCTGGGGTGGTGCCACTCTGCGCTATTCCCAGTGCAGAGCTGCATCTAATAGACCGGACTAAGCTCTGAATGATCAGAAATGCGTATGAAAGGAATCCCTTTCCAGTGCACACGTATCACTTTGACCACTTGTATCCCTTTTGTTTCATACCCATAACTTAGTCACTAGGCGTTAACAAACCGAACAAGAACCTAACAATCTTCTAACTAAGGAATAGTAACGGAAAGTTAAACAAAAGAAAAAGAGGGGTTGAAAAAGAAGTGATGTAGGTTTCAAGTGACAAACGAAGCCCCCTCCCAGCCGCCAGCGTTCGGTGCCACACTTGATAAAGGTGCTCTGTGAAGCAGAGTAAGGAATGAAGGTTCTCTCTTGTCCCAGGTTTCCTCATTCACCTCCTCCACATTCACCTACCTCAGTCTTGGGGCGGGGGGTTATTTTGAATTAGCGTGACGTTTTTTGTTTGTGTTTTTCATTCCTCAGCTCTTTTTTTTTTCAAATACTTTTATTTGCAACACAGGTGGGGTTTTATTTTTCACATCTAGTGTCCTCAATCTCACTATCCCTTCAATGTGCGATCTACAAAGTTCAGAGCATCTCCTCAAGATGTCTGAACACCGTGGACAATCAGAGCTAAATTCATTCCTGGTTTATACCTCATGCACACTTCCGTGAAATCCCTGGGTTGCTTGGGCTGTGAACCAGGGCTGAATTAGTCTCCCTCTGATTTTGACCCTAATTGATGTTAGCTGAGGTCAGTCATGCCGATTCTTCTCCAAACTTCTTCCAGTGTTACAGGACATCCTTAACGAAATCCGTGGCTTTGTTACTATCCTCTGCTGAGATCCCGGTTACGTAGATATCAAAGGACGCTATCAGTTTTGTGGGTATTTGGATGACATCGTATACAACATACAGTGCCAAAAATTGAGCTTATGTAGGATGGTATAAACTAAGGAAATCTGTGTTGTTTTTAATGATTTTTCCAGTTCCTATTACTATAACCAGAGGGGTAGCTGCGCTAGTCTGTATCCACAAAAGCAAGGAGTCTGATGGCACCTTAATGACGAACAGATTTTTTTGGGCATAAGCTTTCGTGGGTAAAAAAGGTGCCACCGGACTCCGCGTTATTACTATAACCGCCATTTAATACTTCACCTGGGGTCCAATACACTTTATGTGATCACTTAATCTGCATTGCCCTCATTCTAGCCCCTAAAAAGATTAACAATTGTGTTTGATCACGGTAGCTTATTGAAGTGAACCTTTAAATCTGTTTTCGTTCTGCTTCATTTTTTATCATGAGTGGATTCTAAGTCTACTTAGAAAGTCTTTGACCGCACGTGGTGTCCCTATATCCTTGTAGTATATAATGTTAAACTGAATCCAATCGCAATTCTGTATTTCACGATCCACTATTCCATTCTGGAGGCTGTATCAAATTCATCAGACCACGTCCCCTTAATAAGTTAAATACTTCTACTGCAAGTGTCCAAGGGAAGGACTCCTGAGTTATTTCGCATTGACTGTTACCCAGATAGTTGTGTGTGGTTATTGTCCGTAGTGATATGTGTGTGATACACGCTTTGGAAGCTGACTGCTTTACTCACATGCTTAAAATCTTTGCTGAATCGGGGCCTCAGGCTGCACATGAGGGAGCTGCTGGTATGGCTGGCAATTCTCCGTACCACGGAGAAGGCGTGCAGGGATAGGAGGGCGGATGGGAGCATGGGAGGAGCACAAGCCCCACCTTTTCCAAAGTGTTGTATGGACTGCAGAGGAACTCATCATTATCTCCCTCCCCGCCACAGGACTAGGCTACGGTGTGGTGTTGGAGGCCTGTGATATACAGAAGGTCAGATCAGATGACCTGGAGGTCCCTTCTAGCCTTAAATACTATTACTATACGGGCCCAGCCTCGGCTGGCATAAGCCCTCTCGCGTAGGCTGTACAGTCACCGTTCATGTCATGCATCTCCTCCCCCAGCAGCAGGGCTCTGGCTCCACACGCGCTCTGCGCTGGGCACTGCTACTATATGTATATTCACTGCTCCTTCCTGCGGATGTGGCTTCTGTGGCAGCTCGCGCGTGCCGCTGACACTAGTGTGTGTGTTAACACGCTCGGGGGCGATACACCCACCCTTGCTGAGCTCGAGTTCCCTAATGGTCCTGGTATGTGGGCAGCACCGAGCGCTTATGCAGTGGCTAGATTCTCAAAGCCTTGAACATTGGATTGGCAGGAAATAGACTAGGGGTTGTTTTTTCAGATGAGCGACACGGGGAGCTAACCGAGCCGTTCCCCCCCTTTGGCAGCCACAGGGCAGTGTTTAGCCCACTGTGTATATGCAGCACGTGCGACTCTCTAACAACCAGGTCGGGAGCCCCGACGCTGCCCACCAAGGGATGGGGACTGTAGGCGAGGGGCGAACAAGGACACACTGGGGACGTGTCGAAGCGGCTCAGGGAATTGCTTACTGGAGCAGCCCCAGGAGTAGCTGCCACCCCCTGGCTGTGGGATGGGGAGACAGAGGATGCAGCAGACAGACAGACAGGCAGACAGCTCCCTCCATCTAGGTCTAGGTTTCCGGAATGAGAATAACCCCATTTCCCAACTAATTCATTAATACTAATAACCCGACGCCCTCAGCTTCCCCCTCCGCTGCATGCGGGGTGTCTCGGGGGGCTGCTGGCAGTGCAGGTCGGGAGAGCAGGGGCAGGGAGCTCCCCACGGGGAGCAGCTTGTCCTTGAGGCCTCTCTCTCCTTCCCCCGTGCCCCGGAGTGGGAGGGTGCCAGTGGAGGCAGCAGGGGCCGGGGCAGGGCTTGCGAATGTGGGAAGGGGGAAGAGGGAGGGCAGGCGGCTCCTAGCTCAGGCTGGAGCCGGGTGGCTTTGTTTCCCCATAAATAAAGAGTCCGGCGGCGGCTGCCCTATAAATGCTGCGGCTGGGCCGCCTGCCCTGCCCAGTGCGGGGGCTTAGGACCTAGCGCAGGGACGGCCCGCAGCGGCTGCCCTCCGCCCAGGGACACCGGGCTCAGTGAGCTGGGAGCCCCAGGGCCAGCGGGAAGAGGGGGGATCCTGGCCCGGAGCTCTGCGATTCCTGCGGCCGGTGATTTCAGGACCCGGACAGCGCTGGGCTGGGCAGGGGCTCTACGGGCCGCAGGGCTTGTGGGGGGTGACTCGCTGGCTGGGCTCACGGTGCGCTCCTGGGGGCGGTCTGGGAGCTCCGTGCTGAAGGGGGTTCGCTGGGCTCCTGGGTCATAGGCTGGGTTCGCAGGGAGGGCTCCCTAGCGATGCAGCGGGCTCGTCACTGGGTGCAGGCTGAGCTCTTTTGCAGTGCGCGCTCGCTGGGCGCTGGGCGCAGGCTGGGCTCGGGCGCGCCCTGGTGCCGGGCTGGGTGGGTGGCGGGCTGCGCGAAGCCCGGCAGGTGGGTCCCCGGGGTGGCTGCGGGCGGCGCTGATGGTGTCCCGCTCTCTCTCTCCGGCGCAGGCAGGGCCATGGCAGCAGGCGGCCGGCAGGCTGGGCCCATGCCGGACCTCGGGCGCTATGTGGTGTCCCGGCCCATATACAGCGAGGCGGCCTTTCAGGAGGAGAACGAGAAGAGAGCGCACCTGCGGCCGACCCTGCGCGAGCGAGTCCAGGGAGCCTGCAGGTGAGAGCAGGGCCGCCGGCCGGGGGAGCGCGGAGGGGACATAGTCCGGGCAGGGAGTCCCGCGGAGACTTTGGGGAGCCCGGGGCCGCGAGCGCGGGGTCACCTGCCTGGGGGCCCAGCCTGTGTCTGGGCAGCACTAAGGGCCGGTCCGGGCGCGGAGGAGCGGAGGGGAAGGAGGCGAAAGGCTCGGCTGCTCCCGGGTAGCCCCAGCGCCTTGCGCGGGTCGTGTTCCCCGGGCTGGGGGCAGAGCTCCAGGGCCGCCCTGCGAGTGCGCGGCGGCGGGACTGACATCGCTAGCGGTACCCGGAGAAGCGCTGAGCTCCCGGCGTGTGGGAAGCAGACTCCAGCCTGTCCCTGCGGCGCACTTCGCTCGGTATTCGCCAGTCGCCGGGCTGGGAGATAAGCTCTGTCCAGAACACCAGGGAGAGTTTTCACAGGTGCTTGGCTCTCGCCCCTTCACTGCTCTGTTGATTCCTTCTTCTCCTTCCATTGCTTTTGTGACCAGTTGAAATCTTGTTTTTATTTGACATAAACCACGCAAGTAACATTTAGATGGTTTCCGGCTTGTTAAACCGCCAGATTCCGCTCTGTGTAAATCCAAGAGACTCTGTCGAAGTCAGCGGAGGCGCTCACATACCACGGGGATGGGTGCAGAGACTCAATAGAAAGGAGTCGAATTTGACCCAACACTGTCCTTATTAGAAGATACATTTAGCACGTGCAGCGTCTAGCCTCTGGAGTTCCTTTGAGTGTGTGGAGTTGCTCAACCATTATTCTTTGTTCCTGGAAGTAATCTTGGCGGTACATAGAAAATGTTGCAATTACAATTCGATTGCATGTTATAGTCCGAGGCAGATTGAATCCTTTTTCTTTCGAGACTGGTTGTTTATGCACACAAACAATCATATCACGGGATCAGAATAAACTGGACCCAACTGAAGAAGCAACTTTCGATCCTATAGCAAAACTTTTTATCAAAAACAACATTACTGCCAAAAACACATATTGCTCTGCCTGTAACTACCTATGTAATAAGAAAATAGCCTAAAATAATGTAAACATTGATAATCCTTCGTTCTTTTAACATTCAGGGGCATTTAGGGACACCTTTACTCATGGTGAGTAGCATTTTACTCCTCAGATAATACTTTCATACTAATAGGACTACACACAGAGTAAGGTGCTATCCAGTGTGAATAAGAGTGACAGACTCCGACCCTCTGAGAATAATCCAATATTTTGTTTGGAAAGGTGACCAATTCAAAATTATTTTCAAAGTAGATCATTTCTTATTTTAGAAACATGAACAAAAACTAAATGCTGTGGTAACTCACCCATTGGTACAAAATCTCTGTTGAGAAAGTCCACTTTGGTTACTGTGTGTCACCAAATACCAACGACTGGTTTTGCAAATGAAATATTTAAAATGTTATGATGGGTGAAACTTGCTGGCAACTGTCACCGTTTCCAGTCGTAAATACTAAGCATTATGGACCAAACCTGAGGTAACTCTTAACTTGAGAGTAGAATTTGGCACTATAAAATCAGTAAATAGTAAACAGCATTCAGACAATTTCTACAAAATATTCCCAATGTTCTTTTGGCTAAATATCACCTACTGAGATCTGTTGGTAGGATTTTTTTCCACTTTCCAATTATGATTTCACAGGGGTAGGTTGACAATTTAATTATCTGGAGGTTGTTGTTTTTTTTTGGCAGCTGTTCAAGAAAAAAGGCCTTTCAGATAACCAAGTCCTTTCTCCCTGTCCTGGAATGGCTACCTAAGTACAGAGTAAAGGAATGGCTAGTTAGTGATATCATCTCTGGTGTCAGTACGGGGCTTGTAGCTACTTTACAAGGTAAGGACCAGGCAGATTTTATCTGTTATTGAGGAGAAACTGGATGTACTATATTGACATTCCCATAATTATGTCTTACCCTTTTCTAATCAGTGCTTCAGTGTTAACCATGATTAAAATCCATGAAGACCAATGTTATTTTATATTGTATATGAATTAATATTTCACAATAAATCATTGATTTCCTTAATTTAGCCTCCTTTTTCTGTTTATGCAATATTGGCTAGCAGATTGCAATTTCCTTGAAGTTGTTATTCAAATATATTTGCCCTGTATCTTTTTGATTTTTTTTTAACTCTATGGACATAAGGTGAACATTTTAAAATTGAATTGTGTTACTCAGTTATTTGTGATTGGTTAAATAAGTCACTTAGTATTATTTCTGTTCCCCAATTGGCTGAGCACCTCAAACACTTGTCTATCCAAATGTAAACTCATGAATACAACTTTCTGTTAACATTTGTGCCAGTAAAGCTTGATTGCTCAAATGTTTGTAGTAAACAAAAACAAAAGAGGCATGAACCTGGCCAAATTTTAAAAATTGGAACAGATATTCACAGAACATAGGTTACAATATTCAGCTAGCTTTGTTTAATACATTTATTAATGATAGGGAAAGTAGATAAACAGAGAGGTGGTGACCTATACATACAGATGACTAAGCATTAGTTAGATTAATCATGACTAGACAGTTGTGAAGAACTCCAGAAGGAGGTAAGTAAGAGCCCCATTCTCGTCCCTGGACCTTCTGATACTGGCCACTTTCAAAGACAGGACTAGATGGGCTACTGGTCTGTTCCAGTATAGTAATTCTTTTGGGCTAGATTGTCCCTTCATCTAGACCTGCATGCAGATCTTCCCCATCCTGTGCAGACGATAAAGTCAGCTGCCTCCACAACTCTGTTGTCCCCCTTCTGCCCCTCAGTGGGTTCAGTATCTGTGTATTACAGCTGCACCTAATGGCCCCAAACAAGATTAGGGTCTGATAGTGGCAGACATTATATAAACATAGTCAGAAACACTCCCTGCCCCAAAAGCTTGCCATTTAAATAGGCTAGCTGGACAAAGGTTGGGAGAATCAGCCCCATTTTACAGCTAGAAGAACTGAGACATAGATAATATCAGATGACTTGCCTAAGGTCACACAGGAAGCATATGGCAGAGCTGGGAAAATCTTCTGATAACCAGGCCAAGCAGTGGCAGTATTTTAACCACTAGAACATTCTCTCTCTTCTCTCTCTCACACACACACAAACACTTCTTAAAGTTAGAATCCAGCAATACGATTTATTTTAAAATATACTGTTTAAATAAAATTTCGACTCATATGCTTCCTTCTGGCACAAATGTACATAGAGATAAATTAATACAAAAGTTCTGTGGCTTGGTCAGAGCTACATACCCTGCATATAATTCCCAGCCCAAGCTGGCTGGGTTCATAGTAGCCAGGAGATGGAACAAAAAAACTGAGCCAAAAAATTAAGCAGATGGCAGGGATCCTCAAATGCCTTGGTCCCCAAACCAGACAGATCCCAAGACTCGTCATGTGTGCAGCTCTTCAGCCTTCCCACCAGTCTATTATTTATCCTGAAGTCCTGGTAGCCCTTTGTGATACCTCTGAGAGGGGACTCAGAGACTCCATAGTGGCAGTTAATGCTGACTGAAGCAGCATTAAATTTCTGCACATTTTACTGGGGATGCTCCACAGTTCTAGGGGTGGGAAGGGATATGACACTTCTCCAGATCCCCTTATCTCTCCTGCCACTTTATCAATGTAGCTGATAGGTCAAACAGATATGCCGAGGAAGGCAACATGGCTATACAGGGAAAAACATCTTGCAAAGGTGCTTTTCTGCTCTGCAGGGCCCCATCATAGCCTTTGTTACTAACTGGTTATTTTATTGGTAAGGAGCAAAATTTTCAAATATGGGTGCCTAAGGTTAGACATCTAAATCCATATTTAGATACCTAAATAAAAATGGCCCGATTTCCAGAGGTGAACTATAAATGGGCATCCTTGTTTGAAAATTCCAGCCATAATTGAGACTTTTTTGGCACAAACTTACCCCTGGAAAGGTAGATCAGTTGCTTTCACAGCAAAGCTCCCCTGCCTGAACCTCACAGAGCCCTTAAAATTTGTGCCTGTGTTTTGTGAAAACACAAATGGCAGGTGTAACACTTAATACTCACACCTGTAACTACCTGGTTGGCACTCTCAAATATGTTGAGGCACAAGCACTCAGATTTGTGCCCACAACTGAATTACAGATGCAAACTGTATTTTCAAATTGTGCCTGGCTGAAAGGAAGCTGCCTTCCTGAAAATTTGGCCCATTACTTGACCAGAGATTAGTCTGTTGTGAGATTTGTAACTAAAATTATGATTATATATGATTACAGGTTTGGCATTTGCTTTACTGGTTGCAGTTCCTCTTGGATATGGTCTCTACTCTGCGTTTTTTCCCCTCCTGACATATTTCTTCTTGGGAACATCAAGGCACCTCTCAGTTGGTAACTGCATTTGTTTAATTTCAGTTTCAGTCAATTATCTTTTGTTCACAATGTTTATGTTTGGCGTGAGTATTAATATTCAGTGTGAGGCAGTCATTTTATTAACCATATTCGCTGTATTGAGCTTTAATGTTGGCAGGTTTGTGGGGCTTAAAACATATTTTGGCTCAGTACAGAGGGCTATGCATAATGCTTAACTTTGCTTGTTCCCATGCAAAGGTTTTCTGCTTATATTTGTGCTGAAGTTCATCAGTCCTGTGTTTTGCTGGACACCATGCAGAATCAAAACCATGGAGGCACAGAGAAGTTCATTCTAGATTATTTCATGAACAGGCGCTTTGTCATCATAAAAACGTTTTAACTAGTTCATTAATGTAGAACTGCTTATTTTATCTTGCCAACACTTTGATTTTGTGATGTATGTAAAGTCATGCTTTATACTGTTCATCTTTACAGGACCTTTCCCTGTGGTCAGTTTGATGGTGGGATCTGTTGTGCTGAGCATGGCACCTGATGACAAGTTCCACATAATGAGCAGTAATGCTACAGGGCTTAACAAAACGCTGATAGACACTGTATCCAGAGATGCACAGAGAGTAGTGATTGCCAGTACCCTCACATTTCTGGTTGGAATTATACAGGTAATAGAACTGCCTCAAAGATTCAGGTTGATGTTGCTTTTACTTTCTTAAATAATTGGCAAAAATGCAGCTTGAAATAGCTTATTAGGGCTCCCTTCCCATGGTAAAACACACACGGGGGGGGGGGGGGAGGAGAGAAAGTCATCTGAAATTTACACAGCTTTCAAATGACAGTACATTTCCCCCATCATGGCAGGAGTGCTGGAACAATTTTTATAGTGGGGGTGCTGAGAGCCATTGAGGCAAATTGTAAACACTGTATATGATGGAAACCACTTCAAGCCAGGGTATGTGGCAGTACCCCTAGAACCTCTAGTTCCAGCACCTATGCTTCATAGGAAAAGGTTTGTGACAGCATGGCTGGGAGTGGAGGAGACAGAAACATAGCTGAGTGACTGCAAAAAACCTGAGGCAGCTATACGGAAACCAAGTTCCAACAGCATATCAGGGGTCGGCAACCTTTCAGAAGTGGTGTGCCGAGTCTTCATTAAACTCTAATTTAAGGTTTTGTGAGCCAATAATACATTTTAATGTTTTTAGAAGGTCTCTTTCTATAAGTCTATAATATATAACTAAACTATTGTTGTATGTAAAGTAAATAAGGTTTTTAAAATGTTTAAGAAGTTTCATTTAAAATTAAATTAAAATGCAGAGCCCCCCAGACTGGTGGCCAGGACCCGGGCAGTGTGAGTGCCATTGAAAATCAGCTCGCGTGCCGCCTTCGGCACGCGTGCCATAGGTTGCCTACCCCTGGCATAAATCTTAGATCATCAGGAAGGAGGGCCTATCCCTGTACATAGATCTGCAGTTCTTCCTTTGTCTCCCTGGAAGGTTGGTGTGAGGGAAGATGGTCCAATGAGTCCTGGTCAATACAAAAAGAACAAGGCATCTCTAACGTAGAAAATGCATAAGTAGACACCAAATAAGGTAAAAGTGGGTGAGAATTTGAGCTACATAGGACACAGATGAACATCGTGGATAGGGAAGAAATCCACAGCAACTGTCATGCAAAGGAAAGAGTCCAAGGCACCATATAAATCCTGCTGTCCCATGACAGGTAGTGATATACCAAAGTTGTTCTTTTGTCCACTTTTCTGTTGAAGACCTCAGGAGCAGATTCTGCTGCTGCTCTGTACACTGTCCTCCCACTGAAATCAGCAGCACTCACAGTGGCTACACTATGAAGCCCTTCAAGTTTTGCTTAATAAAGTAGTTTCAGACTTTTCAGATTCACACAGGGCCAGGTCACGTGTGATACCACTACTCACACTGAGTAGTACTTTACTCCACAGATAACCTGATTTACTTCAGTGGGACTATTTATGGTATAAGGTGCTAGTCAATGTGAGTAAGGATATCACAATCTGGCCCAATCTCTTGCCATTTGACCTGTTCTCAGCCAGCATACTGTATGGGACTGAATCCTGAGCATTTTGTAACATCGTTGTTGCACCTTTTAACTGTTTAGCAAACTCTTATTTCCTGGTGATTTTTCCAGCTTGTGTTTGGAGCGCTTCAGATCGGTTTCATTGTGAGGTACCTTGCAGATCCCCTGGTTGGAGGATTCACAACTGCAGCTGCTTTTCAAGTTTTTGTTTCACAACTGAAAATAGTCTTAAATGTTTCAACCAAAAATTATAATGGGATCCTTTCCATAATATATGTAAGTATGCCCTGCTGATTTGCTTTTGGTTGATGCCACAATTTCTCCATAGCAGTCTCTCTTCCATCTTCTGCCTTTATTTCCTGCAGGGGTGATATCCATAATAGATTGAGGGAATATAGGGTTTTCTTCAAGGATTTGATCCTGCTCCCATTAAGGTCAATAGATTAATAGGTGTTTGGGTTTAATTGACTTGAATGGACCCCAATTCTGCATTTGAGGAAGGCTCCTTTTCTTTTCTGCTGTTCATAGGATGTCACAAGACTGTTATGAGGTCAGTTTAATTCACTTTCAGTGTCCTGGGAGAAGGAACAGGTCAGTGAGATGATAACATTTGGATACAATAGTGGAGCCAGATTAATACAATGGAGGCTGACAAAATATAGGATGATCGATGTGACTCTTTTTTAATTTAAGTGGTAGAGACCTGTCTTTCTGGAGGAAAAGGTCCTGCGTTCTGTCCTTGTTAATGACTATGATGTCTGTGTGGCCATGTGTTATAAAGGGTGCAGTCCTATGAGGTTAGGGAATTACTACAACACATTTGAGATATTGTACACAATTCTTGTATTATTTTTACAAGGATATCACACAGTTATGGAGGATGTAGCAGAAAAATTAAAATAATTGATTAAGGGACTTAAACGTATAGCTATAGAGAAATGCTAGAGATATTATAAATTAAATCTTCCCATCAGATCTGTGGGGTAGATCTTGGAGAAAATGGTCAAATGAAGAATTATCTTGACTGCATTGTAGTAATATTGATTTCCTGGATTGTCCCATATTATAGAACCTACAGCTTTTCCCACTGAAGCTAATGAGTATTTTCATTGACTTCAGGAGGAGCAGGACTGAGCTCAAAGGGCTTTAGACAGGCTTTGGCCAAAAAGAATCAGTCTCTATTTAAAATACTACTCTCCTGACATTAGTAGAAACGAAGGCCAGTTCAGGCAGAAGTATATTCAGTTCTTTGCAATGTTTTGGAATGTCCAGTCTATTAGTGTATGGAGTGGAATAAATTGGCATATGGATTAGGAGTAATAGTGAAATTGAGAAAAAGAGAAAATCAGGCAGAGTATTTGGAAAATTTTCCTGACAGTGAGATGTGTTAGGCTGTGGAATAATCTTCCTAGGAAGTAATGGAAGCTCTAGCATCTTGGGACATTTAAAATAAGATCGGACATAACACTAAGTAATGTACTATAGCAGGGGTGGCCAACTGTGGCTCGTGAGCTGCATGCGTCTCTTTTACAGTTAAAGTGCGGCTTGCAGACCCCCCTCCATCCCTCCATTCTGCATCTATCAGACTAGGGGGAGGGAAGCTTGGGGCTTCTGCCCTGTGGCGGGGTGGTGGGGCTGGGTGCTTCTGCTCAGAGGTGGGGTGGTGGGGCTGGGTGCCTGCTGGGGGCGGGGAGGCACAATTTAAAGGTTCATCCCTCCCAATAGCTTGAGTCATGCCCCCCCAGGCATGCCCTCCCCGGCCCTCAGCGGCCCCTCCCTGCAACGCCCAGATGTTAGCTCTGTGGGGAGAGGCAGCAGCAAAAGCAATGGCTCTCCCTGCAGCTCCCAGCTGTTTGCCACTGCCTCTTCCCAGGGCTGCAGTTCCCAGCCTGCTGGCTCCAGTAGCTGCTGTGCAGGGAGGGGTCCTGGCATCACCATGTGACTGAGTGGGTCCAGCAAACCCTGTCAAAAATCTGGAGGCCACGTGATCCCATGTGCTCCCCTCCCACATCACCTCTGGCTTCTGCCCAATGGGGAGGAGTGGTCTCGGGGCTCCAGCACCACAGGACATGCCTGCTGTGGCTTGGGGCTTCAGCAGGAGCGGGGATGAAGCCCTGAGCCCAGGCAGGTACCTGCCATGGGGCTGAAGCCCCAAGCTCCTCCTCCCTGCAGAGCTGAAGCCCCGAGCCTTGGCAGGAGTGCCCCAGCTCTTGAAATTCTGAAGATTATTGTATGCGGCTTGGAGGGTGAGTAAATTTGGCTGCCCGTGCACTACAGGGAGCAATGCTGTACTGTGATGGAGATGTACCAGATGACCTCTCAGGTTTTTCCATCTGTGTCTTTTATGATAGCCAAAGGGAAGTGCAACTAGGAAAGATATATTTTGAAAAGGAATTAGATGGTGCTCCCAACTCTGGTGAGCCTAAAATAAAGAGCTCCAGCTCTAAGTTAAAACTAAGTGTCCTTGTAGTGTAACAAGTGAGTCAAGCAGCTCCACTGTGTACAGAGCACAGGAATGAATGAGTTCTAATCCCACCTCTGATAGTGACTTGTGTGGTCTTGAGCAAGTATTTTAACATCGGTGTGTCAGTGTACTTTCCCTGTGTAAAGTAGGAATAATAATAATATGTGCTCACCTACTTCACATGGGTGTTGGGATGGAATTAGTAAAAAGGGTGTGAATAATTAGTAGTCCTCTCTCTGGATCAACCTCCACATACTTAGTATTGAAAACATATTATTTTTACCGTTTTGTCAGCAGTTTAAAATTTTTTAAAAATCAGCTGCGCAAATTGCAGAGTGCAGTAAAACAATAAGGTCACATCCTCCTTTGCCTAGTGCTGCATGGATGGAGAGATCCTGCCCATTACACACTTGCTGTAGGAATCCTCCTGGCCAGGGCTGACTTCCAATGGAGTGTTTGGGCACCATGAAGTGAGGTGTCCTTGGTTTTCCCTAGAGCAGGATCCATGATGGCAGAATCATATTCTCTGGCTATGGACAATGGAGATAGGGAGGCTGAGCAAATATTTAATCCACACACTAGATTCCATGCTCCTTGGGCATATGGTGAGTGAGCCAGTGTTTTAGCCATGCATCTGCTAGCTCCTTCTTGAGCACCACGGATGGATCTTGCCTCCTATATGGGCAAGGAGGAAGAGGCTCCATATGTCCTCTTTCTTGCCCTGTGCTTCAACAAAACACAGGCAGAATTTAACCCTTGTTATGTAGTATTAATTATACAGAAGTTAAAAAGCATCTGATAAAGAAGAGATCAGTTATTCTCATAGTTGTGCTCCTTCAGTTAAATTCACCATGAGATCAACCCACTGATTCAGTGAGAGCTTGATAGTGCACAAAAGAAACTCACATTCATAATCAAATTCCTCAGGCCAGTAAAAATGAGCATATGGGATGGGACAGGTAGTCCCTGACCTTCTCTGAGATTTTGTGCCTGCTTCTCTATATGGGCTATTTTATCATTCTATTTAAGTGGTTTCAAAGTATTTTGAATTTTCTTTAATTTTTTTCAGACCCTCATCGAAATATTTCAAAGAATTGGTACCACCAACATTGCAGATCTCATTGCTGGGCTACTCACCATTTTTATTTGTATGGTAGTTAAAGAAATAAATGATCGATTCAAACACAAGATCCCTGTTCCTATTCCTATAGAAGTAATCGTGGTAAGCAAGTACCCTAATAAGAAACACAGCAGACTGGGCTGATTGCAGGAAGATCAGAGCAATGTTTCAGTATTAAAACCATTGTTTTATTTGATTCCAGACAATAGTAGCCACAGGGATCTCATACGCTGCTGACCTGGAAAAAAAGTACAATGCAGGCATTGTTAAAACCATTCCTAGAGGGTGAGTGCACCTGTCTTCTGAGACACAGCTAATATTTTAAATGGCTATTAATGAGAGTAGTAAAAGAATAATTGTGAGAATCAGAGAGAGAGACAGTTTGATTCACAGCCAAACATTTCCTGAATTCTAGTCCTGGCTCTGTCACTAATTCCCTCCATGGCCTTTGGTAAGCATCTCCCTAGCTGTACAATGGGTATAATAATACCCTCCTTTGTAGAGCATTTTGAGATCTATAGATGAAAATGCTATATTAGAGCTAGGTATTATTATTAATAATAATAATCAGTTAATGTTTGTAAAGTGAGTGTGTGAGTATGGAAAATGCTGTATAAATGCTAAAAGTTTTTAATAATTATATTTGATATTTACCTAGGACTCAATCTTGAAAACCCATACTTATGTGAGTAGTCCCATTGTAGTCCTTATTCATACAAATAGCCTAGTCAAAAGTACTCCTGGCATACTCACAAGAGTAAGGTTTGCACTGACAGTGACTTTCACCTGTAAGATCTAAGCATTTTACAACGATAACCTTCACATTCTGTTTGGTGTGCAAGCCTTAATAAATTGATATTTGTAAAGGTCTTTCAGACTCTTCAGATAAAAAGTGTCCAGTATAGAAGTGTGAAATATTGTTAATGTAATAGTGTTATTAATCATATAATGTCCAACATAACCAAAAAATACACTTCTTCGCTTTTTTACCACAAGGCCAAAGTTTAGTCCCCCAGATTTTGAAACCAATGGGGGTTTTGTCACTGACTTCAATGGCCAGGGCTGGCCTTATGGGTGGACACTGTGGGCAACTGCCCAGTACACCGTGGTCAGGGGGCACCATGGTCAGTTCCCCTCACATACCCCAGCTAGCCCAAGGCCCCTTTAAACTCAGAGCGATGGTGCCGGAGCTGGGGAGGGGCAGGGATGGGGGTGCTCCAGCTGGGGCCTCTTACTGTGTGCCGGACTCCAGTTGCTAGTCCCGGCCAGGCAGTGGAGGGACGAGACTTCTTCTTCCTCTGCACAGGCCTCTCTCTGAGCCAGGTCAGACCCATCTCTGGGAACCTCCCCCAGCTGCAGGAAGTTCTGCACCTCTGCCCCCTGCTTCGTGCCCCCATAGCTCCCCAGTCAGAGGGGAGGGGTCCCTGTACGGGGAACTGCCCTGCCATCTGACCAACCCCCATGCCTAAGGGAAAATGGCGCCAAAATACAAGTTCATCCAGCGTGCCATTTTCCCTAAGGCCGGCCCTGTCAATAGGACCAGGATTTGGGCCATATTGAACAAGGTAATCTTGTTGTATGGTCTGCAAGTGTTCCCATCTTTTTGTTAATTTGAAATATTATTGTTCACGTTACAAGTAGTATGTATGTCCTGCTGCCTTGAAGCGTCTTGATAAATCTAGTAAACACAGAATTTGATCAAAATTGATAATATAAATATGTTTTCTTAAATATTAGGTTTTTGCCTCCTGAGCCTCCAGCTGTCAGTATGTTTTCAGAAATGATAGCAGCCGCATTTTCCATTGCTGTGGTCGCTTATGCTATCGCTGTGTCTGTGGCAAAAGTCTATGCAACGAAACATGACTATCCTATTGATGGAAACCAGGTATATGAAGCCCAATTAATTTAAAAATTAATTAAATGTAATTTGGGCATGAAGGATGCTTATATGTCCAAACTGGAAAAGAAATTATACAGATTTATCAGACACAAGTGAAACTCTCATATGTGAAATTAATTAAACTATTTGGAAAAGCAGATAAGATATGGTCCTGCGACACAGTGATATATAGAGATGAGACTGGTGTGAGTTACCCAAGACACTGAACCAGAGCCTCAGTCCTAGTTAATCTCCTCTGTGTTGTTCCAGTGACATCAAGGCACTGAAAGATGCTCTCAAGAGGCAATGGGGGATAACCATTACGTAGGAGAATTCTGTGGTGATGTAAACCTGGAATAACTGACTTTATGTGGCCTGCTTCCACTTCTCTGCATAGAGAGTGTTCTGAGGTGGCTGGTGGCAGGGAGGGGCAATGCTGGGCTGGTGAACCAGTACCTGGAAGATCACTCCAGTCAGCATAAGTTAGGCCTGGCCTACAGTTAGTTTTTGTACCAATTTAACTCTTTCAATTGGGAGTATGATTTTATGCCTGTATTATTAAATTGGCACATCCCCTTAGTGTAGACACAGTTATACTGGTATTAATGTGTGTATGTCTGTACAGCTTACTCCTGTAAATGTATGGGTGTAAGCTGTGCCAGTGTCGGAACCTTTATACCACTATAACTGCATCCATACTCAGGCGCTGGGGTTGTATTGCTTTAACTATAGCCATTTCTAAACCAAGTTAGTTATAGTGTTATAAAAACTGTAGACAAACCCTGTGGTTGCTCAAACTGTCTCTATTCCTAGGATCAAGGGAGATGAAGAAATGGCTTAGAGCTACCTTTGTCTCCTCTATTCATACTGAACATATATTGCATCCTTTGAATATGTGGGAAAATTATATTCGCTACAAAAAATGAGCCAAGCATGTTGTTTAACTGGTCTTTCTGTCCTTTACAACTAATGAATAATGCCCCAATTACAATATATCTGATTTTAGAAATATTTTAATTTATTATGTAACCAAATTGGCCCTCTAAGCATGTGAATTATGAGTGGAGACGCCTCTATGTTGGCCATTGTGTATCGTGAGGCTATAATACACAATGTTCACATTGGGAAACACTTTACATTAAGGCTGCCTAACATGTCTTCACTTGCAGTTTAATAAGGCTAAGTGGGTAGTACAGCTGCGTGTTTTCAACATTCTACCTATACTGTCCTGTTCCAGAATACATTAGGTAGCGATTACAGTAGCTGAATGATTGGTAATCAAACAAAATTATGTTCCTTCTAGTATTAATACTATGCCTGGCAAACATTCAACAACAGAAAGTCCTAGAAAGAAAGCTAGATTACTAATCTACTTAAACTAGATGAGTGAAAAATAATAACAGCATAAAAACAGGCAATGAAAGAAGGTTTGAGGGAGGATCAGTTACCTTCTTTCATCAGTGATAATTAGGGCCCTACCAAATTCACGGCCATGAAAAACACATCATGGACCATGAAATTTGGTTTCCCCCCCATGAAATTTGGTCTTTTTTGTGCTTTTACTCATACTATACAGATTTCATGGGGGAGACTAGTGTTTCTCAAATTGGGGGTCTGACCAAAAGGGAGTTGCAGGGGGGTCACAAAGTTATTTTAGGGGGGTTGCAGTATTGTCAACCTTACTTCTGCAGTGCCTTCAGAGCTGGGTGGCTGTTGGCCAGGTGCCCAGTTCTGAAGGCAGCGCCCCACCAGCAGCCGTGCAGACGTAAGGGTGGCAATACCATACCACACCACCCTTTACTTCTGTGCTGCTCCCTTCAGAACTGGGCGGCTTGAGAGTGGCGGCTGCTGACTGAGGGCCCAGCTCTGCGCAGAAGTAAGTGTGGCAATACCATACCGTGCCATCCTTACTTCTGCGCTGGTTCTGGCGGCAGCTCTGCCTTCAGAGCTGGGCTCCTGGCCAGCTGCCACCGCTCTCCAGCTGCCCAGCTCTGAAGACAGTGCCGCTGCCAGCAGCAGTGCAGAAGTAAGGGTAGCAGTATTGCAATCCCCCCTACAATAAACTTGTGACCCCCCCCACACCTCCTTTTTGGGTCATGACCCCTACAATTACAACACTGACATTTTATAGCTGAACTCATGAAATTTATGATTTTTAAAATCATATGGCTGAAAAATTGACCAAAATGGACCGTGAATTTGGTAGGGCTAGTGATAATTTGTTTTAATAGACTCATAGATTTTCAAACTTAATAATAGAAACAGTCACTGATCTATCGCTAGCATCTTCTTCCAGAGCAAAGTTGTGTTGAAATCTGTGTGGATCGTCCAGGTCTGTTCTATTTAAGGATCTGGCTGCAAGATCCTACCCTGGTAGTAAAAATATAAACTAAGGGCTCATCCAAACAGTTTTTGTACCAATGTAACTATATTGGTTTAGAAACTGATATATTTAAATCTGTACAACCCCCCATGTATGGATGCTGTTATACTGGTATAAAAATGCTTATATTTAGATAGCTTATTTTGGTAAATTTATGGAATTAAGCTATACCAACATAGGCATCTTTATACTGGTACAACTGTGTCCACACCAGGGGATTGCACCAATTTCACTATATTGGTTTCTAAGATGATGTAGTTAAATCAGTAAAAAAACTGTGTGCAGATCAGCTCTAAAATACTTAACAGCAGCTGTTGTAATGAATCCAGTATTTGGCGTAAGACTACTGTACTTCTCACTTTACAGGCTCCTGTAAGGAAATATTATCTTTGCTGTGCAAACAGGGGTGCTGGAACAATTTGTATAGTGGGGGTGCTGAGAGCCATTGAACCAAACTCTAAACCCTGTATATGATGGAAACCACTTCAAACCAGGGGTTGCTGCCGCCCCAGCATCCCTTGTTCCAGCAGCTATGCATGTAAATGACATCTTAAAAAATCTACATTTACATCATCATCTAATTTTCTTCTAGGAATTTATTGCCTATGGGATCAGCAATGTGTTTGCAGGAGCTTTCTCTTGTTTTGTTGCTACCACCGCTCTATCACGTACTGCTGTCCAGGAAAGCACTGGTGGCAAAACCCAGGTAATGGGTTTATTTTACTATTAATTTTAAAGATATTTCAGTTTAATATTGCATAGGGCAAAGACTTCACATAGGGTTAACTCCAATATGCTTGTATGTATGTCCCTGGTTGGGCTGACAGTGGGATTTGAACCCAGGCCACATAGTGCTAAACTCATGAAATACCACTGCTAAACTAAAGGCCGGAATACTGCAAATGGAACCTGTGACACTCACCAACTTCTTATGTAGACCAGCCACTAGAGGGACACAAAGACTTTCCTACTATGGGTTACACTTCACATAAAACCAACTATACACTATTTATTTAATAGTAGGGCCATTCAGAGGGCAAGTAGCAGGTAGAATATGGTGCTGGTGTGGATTTTCTCCTCTTCCCTTACACAAAGTCACCCTTTCCCAAGGTACTAATTTGTGGTGATTTACATGGACTGATGAGACTTAATCACTTTATATAGTTGAATTGTTTCTGGATTTGGCCGTGTATACTTAAACATAATAAATATTTTAACACGTCTCCTTGTTTACAAAGAAATATAAAATATACCAACATACGCATTATTCATAGTGAGTTTGAAAACATTGCAGAGAGTCTAAAAATACTTGTTTCATATCAACATTACTATTTTCTTTGCAGGTTGCTAGCATAATCTCAGCAGGGATTGTACTGATTGCCATTGTGGCTCTGGGGAAACTGCTAGAGCCCTTACAGAAGGTATGATGCTTCTCCTATCTAGTATTCTTACCCCGGCACCATTTAGGCCATATGCTCAGTTGATGTAAATTGGAGGAGCAGCGCCATTTGGAACTGTGCTGATTTATACCAGAAGGCTATCTGGCTCATAGTGTACAATTTTAATTTACTTAATAACCAGAAAGTGTCCCAAAAACATACAGTGTGTTATCTCTTCTGAATAACCCACTTTTCACAATCTCTCTTTGCAGTCTGTGTTGGCAGCTGTTGTCATTGCCAACTTGAAAGGGATGTTCATGCAGGTGTTTGATGTTCCTCGTTTGTGGAGGCAGAATAAGGCGGATGCTGTAAGTCATTTACTTTTTTCCTAAATGTTTTGGTTCTAGTTCTCTTTTTGTGTGTTAACCCCACCCAATTTACTCATAGTTTCCACACTTTGTTAACAGAAACAGAATTTTGTATTGTTAACACCAAAAGACTTTAAAACAGATTATCTGGTCCATTAACGCAGTTTTGTGTTAGTCTCCCAACACAAAACTCCCCTAAAGCCAGCAGATCCAGCCAGTGAAAATTTCTCCCTGTGTAGAAGACACTTGTGACAGCTTCTATATCACATTCATTCCTAGTCTCCAATCGGAAGGGGAGTATTAGAAGAAAGGGGGCTTGATCAGGTATCCCTGTGTATTGGCCATCCCTTGCTGTTAACAACCAGCAAAGTTTAGAGTTGCCTTCTAGTTCAATCAGCTGAGCTGCAGATTAACGTAAAGACAGCCTGAAGTCACTTTTACCACCCCACTCTGGTCTTTTGCTGAGCACAGTTTGGCTGAATGAGAGAATCTGGCCCCTTATATTCAGATTCTGAACCAATGCATAACCAGTCCCCAAATGTTCCCATATAGCCTGCAACAACAACATTAGTGTGGACCATGCCTGGACCAATATCATCACAGTCCTCACCAATAAATGTTTTTTCTTGCTTGGAGCAGTAATAATCTGTGCTGCAATGTGTGCATAGGGGCCCTTGCTGTGTCAAGGGATGTATGCACAATTACATCTAGATTGTGCCCTCAGACCCCTATAATCTCATCCCAAGGCACCCTCATATCTCTTATTGGAGTTTCTGTGGAGCAGGTCCATGATGTGCTTGGGGGAATCAGGTATTGCATGGAAAGTATCATCTCCACATAATCTCTAATATGCAAAGATTTTCTCATGAATGCCTATGAACAGTGCCCTGCCTGTAGCCAAATCCCAAAGTCCTTCCTCAATTTTTACTCAATCTTTTTCTTGGGTAAAAATCTCATTGACTTCAGTGGCAGCTGATGGTGCTCAGCACCTCACAGGGTTGGGTCCAACGGGAGTTTCTGAGCTATGCCTGAGTAAGGAGTTCAGGAATTAGCCCAAGTAGGCAGCACAGACTTCAAAATGTGTGTCCCCCACCTTCCCCACCCGGTTTATGTGAAATACTATCCATTTGTGGTACAGATCCTTCTCCCAGAAATAAGCGGGAGCCCTCCTTTGCCACTACATATCTGAGGGCAGACTGTCATCCTACAATAAATTAGGTTCTTGGGGAAATACATTGCTTCAAATTCCTGGAGTAAAAATAACAAAAATAGCTGCTGCTGGAGAGAAGTAAAGACAATGAGAAATTGTATCCTCTTTAACTGTACAAGGGATCACTGAGTCCCTGCTAGACTTCGTTACCTTAGAATAGCTTGATAATTTATTGCCTAAGAACCAAATACGAATAATAAACAAAATAAAGATGAGCAAAACTGGCTTGGAAATAAAGGAAGAGTTTAATATAGAAGTCAGCACATAGTTTGGGTATTTCGACCATCTTCAAGCTTAAATTCTTTTGTTGCTATTATTATTTGGTGTAGTGATTTTCTGCTGTGATCAGAAGCTATTTTCTTTTTTAATTCAGAGACACTGTGTCTGTGCTTTCCTCTCTAGATGATCTGGATTTTCACATGTGTGGCATCCATCATTCTGGGTCTTGATTTGGGATTACTTGCTGGCCTTGTGTTCGGATTACTGACAGTTGTGGTGAGAGTTCAGTTGTAAGTAACACAGAAACAGCAAGACCAGTCAGTGCTATACCATGAAAAGTAAGGGAATTTAGGGAAAAGAAGAGAATTTATGTCTGAAAATCAGTCATATTGACCATGATTTTGAAGTGAAAGGAAATCTACCCTTCTGTTTCTGTAAGAGTGTTCATAGATTCCAAAGCCAGAAGGTACTGTGTTGTAGTCATATTGATGTAAAGGATACATGCATTATTTTTGTGATTGATCTACTCTATTTTTTACCTGGCCATCTGTCATTTAGGTACCTATAAAAGATCTTAAAAGGGATGGAAGCATTCAAAATAAAGTATAAGAAGTTATATGAGTAGCTATATTTTATCAATTACTATTCACTCAGCATAGAACAGTACCATTGGGGGGGAGGGGGGAATACACACGTTGAGACAGATAACATTTTGGCAAGTAACATTCTCAGCATCTACTTATTCTGGATGTCATTATAAGGTACCTGTAGAGTAGAAGACATGTGCAGACATATGTGTGCTGTGTGACCATTCCTCCCCTTCCCCCACCCTTATTGCTGCTTTAAGATTCCATTCCAAGGTTCACATTTTAGCTGTTGACTATGGCTCTGGTGTTTCCCGCAATGCCTAGCACGGATGAGAGCAAACATGTGGAAGAATAAGTGAGACTGAATGGAGGTGATGGGGGACTTCACAGGATGTTGCTCCACTGCTCAGACACCTTATAACTCTCTCCCGGTTTTCTTGCTGAATATACAAGATAACACCTTTCCTTCCACCTGGAATCCAGAAAGCAAAGCTGACATCAAAGCCAGTCCATAGCTTTGCTGTCAGGAAGTGCTTAAAAGTGGTGCAGTCAGTATGCTTGAGCCACCATAGACCAAAGCGAATCACATCCAAGGAAGGGCCTGCTATATCCAAGGGAATCCCCTGCAGCGCCTCCTGCTGGGGCTATTCCGTTTGCTGATTCTCACCATTCTGTAAAAGGCTGTGTGTAACAAGTCATCCCATGTTATAAGTTCCTCAACTGAATGTTAATTTTACACCATGTTTTCTTTTTGTTTCTGTTAGTCCCTCGTGGGGTGGCCTTGGGAACGTTCCTGGCACAGACCTCTACAAGAACGTCAAGAACTACAAAACTGTAAGCGTTTCTGACTGCTTATTTTCCTAATGGCAGCCTGCAAGCCAAAGTGAGGTACAGAGTTCTACCTTGCAGCT